TCTGTTGCTGTCCATTTTTGGCCTAGAATTTTCAATATAAGTGAGACTAGAAATATCAGGGGGTAGGAGAAAGGGACTTTTTTTTTCTTGAATAGTTAAAGAGGGAAATTTTTATCTAGAATGAATTATATGAAAGGTGAAAAAGAATATTCAAAGTCAGACATTACTAAAATTTGAAAATACAACAGAAATTAGAACACAAGAACAGTGCTATATTATTGAAGATTTTAAAAACTTTCTAAACATTTTGAAGGAGGAAAATACATAAACTATTTGGGCAAATTATTTAATTGCTAAATTAAAAATCATATTTTTTTGCCCTGGCTGATGTGGCTCAGTGGACTGAGTGCTAGCCTGCGAACCAAAGGGCTGCTGGTTCAATTCCTAGTCAGGGCACATGCCTGGGTTGCAGGCCAGGTCCCCATTTGGCAACTGTTTATTTCTCTCACCCGCTGATGTTTCTCTACCTCTCTTTCTCCCTCCCTTTTCCCCTTCCTAAAAATAAATAAAATCTTTTTAAAAAATCATGTATTTTCCTTTTTCCCATGCAGGTCTCTGAAATGAAGTCCTTAATTATATGACAATTTTATAGCTATTAAAATATAGCAAGAAAAATGATATAGCCAAATAGCATATATGTATATATATCCATATAGATGTATAGGTGGTGGTTTAGAGTTTTATTAGCATGTACCCTTTAGAATGGTGGTCTTAGTTTTTATTAATGTAGTGAAGTCTAGTCAAGTTGGTTAAAAAACTATTCTCTTCAGATATAAGTTGTTAAGGAGGCTTTATTTGATCTTTCTTGATATTGCTGAGAATAGTGAACACGTCTCCTCTAATATCCTTCTTTTAGAATGTGTTCTAAGAAATTTTTGATTTAGAACATTTCACAAGTCTACTTATAACAGGCAACTTCACCACCTTTCTTACATGTTTGTAAAATAATAATAATAATACTCTAGCTTTATTTATTTTTAAAGAAAGTGATTCCTGGATAGACCTTAAATTGTATTTGCTCAACTTTAGGTTATGTTAATGTCCTTCTAGTCTTCCTGATTGGAAGGCACATAAAAGCAACTGAAAAGTTCTCAAATGTAAATAAACATTTCCAAACTGTCCGGAAAAAGTCCAGCCACTGTTAACAAAACGAGAACGATTTGCGCAACATCAGTGTAACCTGGCAGCCAAGGAGCGTGGACAGGAATGCGCATGCATGAACAATGATGACTTCACTGTACTAGTCAGTGGAGGCAGTAGACGCCGTTGAGTGAGCATGTGTACTGTGTGGCCATTGCATTCAAAATGACTGAGCAAGTAGAACAACAAACCTGTACCAAATGTAGCATTAAGTTTGAACAGTCCTCCTCAGAAACCATTCAGGTGATGCAGAAGGCTTTCAGGGATGGTGCAATGGGCGCAATGCAAATAAAAGTGTGGCACAAATGCTTCAAAGATTATCGAGAATCTGTTGAAAGTGACCCATGTTCTGGAAAGCCTGAAACAAGCAAAACACCTGAGAATGTTAAATCAACTAAGATCGGCAACTGACAGTGCAAGAACTAGAAGCTGATCTGCAGATTCCAAAAACTACTGTGCCTGAGATTTTGACACAGGATGAAACATGTCATGGCAAAATTTGTTCCGCTGCTTCTGCTACCAGAGCAGAAGGAACATCGTGCTGCATTTGCTAATGACTTGATTCTACCTGCTACCAATAAACCAGATTTCCTCAAGGAGGTCATAACTGGAGGTGAATCGTGGCTAAGAGTATGATCTGGAAACAAAGGCCCAGTCGTTCTGATGGAAGTCACCGGGTTCTTCACGCCCAAAGGAGGCACGGCAAAGTCACAGCAAGATCAAGACCATGTACTGTGTTTTTTGATTGGGAAGGTGTTGTCCATCACAAGTACGCCCCTCCAGGCCAGACAATTATTAATAAGGAGTACTACCTTAATGTTCTTCATTGGTTGAAGGATGCAATACAACGAAAACAGACCACAGCTATGGGGAACTGGTGATGGGCAGCTTCATCATGGCAATGCGCCCACTCATGCGTCATGTCTCGTGCAAAGTTTTTTGGGAAAACATCAAATCACCCAGGAACTCAGACCTCTGACAGTCCAGATTTGGCACCCTGCGACTTCCAGCTTTTCCCAAAACTAAAATCACCTTTGAAAGGGAAGAGATTTCAGACCATCTATGAGATTCAGGAAAATACGATGAGGCAGCTGATGGCAACTGGGAGAACTGTGTTAGGTCCCAAGGTGCCTACTCTGAAGGGGACTACGGCATCATTGTCCTATGTATGGTGTTTCTTGTGTCTTGTCTCTATTTTTCTTGTATAATGTCTCTATTTTTCATAGTACATGGCTAGATACTTTCTAGACAGACCTCGTATGCTAATCCATTTCTGCCCCCAAAAAGCAGTTCATTTTGGGTGAGAAATGGACCCCTTTTGGTTAGAAAAAGAAACTAACCAATGATCAAGTATAGAAATTTCCAGAGTTTTAAGAAGACTGGTTTAAATCAATATACAGTAGTCATTTTAACCTGGGCTTCATTACCTGATCTGATTGATAATTGGCTATTTTTTTAATTGTTCTTAATTCTCAGTCCAAGAATGCAACCTTTAGAATTTCTGTGTTTTCAAACTCATAGTGGAATCACAACTTACAACAAGGCTAGTTTCAATGCAGTCTTATTAATTACATTATTTATATGATCCAGGTAATTAATGTTTGTTAATTTAATCAGTCATAGAATGTGAATGGTTTTATTCCCCAGTAACTCTATTTTGAGTCTATGCTATACAGTGTATGATGTTTTATGTTACCTATTATGGGTTGTGTTTTTGTCAATATAAATAACCTTCTTATTTTATTTAATGATCATAAGCTTGAAAACTGCTCTGATTTTACTAGTGCTTTAATTTCATTGGCCCACAATTATTCTACTCATCTATTTATTTTATCTGTCTTGTTTTCAGTTCTACTCATGGTTACTAGTGTTTACTTTAACATTTTTTTAAAGGCATACTTTAATTTCTATTTCTCTAATTATCAAACTTAAAAAAGAAGGCATAACTTGTGAAACCCTACAGTCTAAAATACGAAATGGAATGAACTTTACGACCTTCTGCCCCTCTCCTACCCAGTATTTATCAGTCTCTAGTCATTTAGTCTTGGATTAAGTCACTGCTATTATGAAATTCTTATTCAAACTGCATTTAAAAATTAAATATCCTCTCTTTCAAGGATTAGCTCTGGCTTTTGATTCAATCTTATAACCACAATTCTAATTCCATATTTTGACTTAACTTCATAAGCCTACCTGACTCCAGTTTTCACTTCTGGTCCTTCTAGACCATGATTTCTTTGAAATTGAGTCATACGTTTTGTTGGTTGGAGCATGCATTCAAGGAAATTTCTAAATTTTTTAATTACTTCTGGTGAAAAGAAAAAAAATATATAACATAAAATTACCATCTCAGCCATTTCTAAGTCTACAGTTCAGTCATGTTAAGTATAAGTCACATTGTCACTACAACCCATCTCCAAAACCTTTTCATCTTGCCAAAAACTGAAACTCTAACCCATTGCCCCTTCTCGCCAACTTCTGGCAACCCCCGTTCTACTTTCTGTTACCATGGTTTTAACTACACTAGATACCCATTGGAACATACAATGTTTGTCCTTTTGCGACTGGTTTATTCACCGAGCATAATGTCCTCATCCCCCATGCTGTACCATGTGCCAGAATTTCCTTCCTTTTTAAGGCTGAATAATATTCCATTGTGTATACAGACCACTTTTTATCATTCATCCATTGATAGACACCTGGGTTGCTTTCCTCTCTTGGATCCTGTCAGTAACGCGGCTATGAACATGGGTATGCAAGTGTCTCTTCAAGATCCTACTTTCAGTTCTTTCCAATAGATATCCAAAAGTGAAACTGTTGGGTCATATTGGGATTCTATTTTTAATTTTTGAGGGACCACCACACTGTTTTCCATGCCAGCTGTACCATTTAGGTTTTGTTTTTTCAAAGGCAGGCATGTGGGTGGGTGGGATTTTTAAAAACATTTGCTTTTGGAGGATTCTTTCTCTTGCTTTCACTCATAACTAGGTGTGTTCTTTTATTCTCAAGCATATGAAGATGTTACCTCAATATCTCTGAATTTTAACATCAAATATAGAAATAAAAGGTCAACAATATCATTCCTTTGTAAGAAATCTAGGTTGGTTGTTGGTTTTTTTTTTCCTTCACAGCTATTTGTAGAATTTTTTTTCTCTTTGAAATGAAAATGAAAATTCTCTGGCTAAATAAATGTGAGCTACCAGCGTCGCTCTACCTGGAACTCCCGGTGGCTCTTAACACCTTCTCTTGTATCATAGCTATGAGTTAACATGTCTTAGCCTTAATGCAGTGCCTGGCTCACAGTGAGACAATGATACTTTTAAGGAGGGTAAATGAATGCATGAATGACTCTGATTTTTTTTACTATCCTCGAGGTCCCTTGTAGGCAGGGTCTATAGCTGTCTCTTGCCCCGTGCTCAGCCCCAATTGACTACTGTTATCATGTACCCAGCAATGTTTGATTGCCTGCCCTCATGTGGAGGGCGCAATTTGGAGGGTTAGCAAAGGGAGAGACGTTAGGCAAGGGGAGTTGAACAGAGGAAAGGGGCGGTGACTCTGGGAAAGTGTTATCTTCCTCCCCCCCATCTCAGTATTGGGGTCACTTGAGGCAAGGCTGAGGGGGTCCCAGCCCAAGGACACTGAAGAACAGGTGCTGTGGCCCAAGATCACTGTGGTCTTGCTGCCCACAGTGAGTCCCAGCATTCCTGCTCCAGCCACAGGTCACTCTTCCTCCTTGAAAACATGGGGTTTACCAGTTGCCCCTGACCAGCCCTTAGACAGCAGGCCCCGCAGCAGAGCCGGTGGTGCACGGGCCCCGGCCCAGCCCCCCAAGGCTGACCCTGTCTCTTGTTCCTCTGCAGAAGGACTTCACGGTGCGGGAGGAGCTGCAGCAGCAGGACGTGGAGCGCTGGCTGGGCTTCATCACCTTCCTGTGTGAGGTGTTCGGCACCATGCGCAGCAGCACGGGCGAGCCCTTCCGCGTGCTCGTCTGCCCCATCTACACCTGCCTCAGGGAGGTAAGAGCCCCCCGGCCGGCCTGAGAGCAGGTGCGGCGGTGTCTGTGATGGAAACTCAGCTCAGAGGCGCCGGGAAAGCCGTGAGGGGCGCACAGTTATAAAGTGATGATCCTTGGTTTTTATTTATTGAGTTTACAGAAAGGGAAACAGCCCCCCTCCAAAGAAAGCATTACTAACTCAGGCTGCAGGAATTCATAATCTAGACCACCACCTGCACTGAGTATTATTTGAACGAATGGATCTTTGGACTGGATTGGTTTATTGTTGAATTACATATTTTTTAAAAAAGCATTTGCTTCTAAATTTTATCTGAAAAAGAAATAAATAAGAACAATCAAGAAACTTTTAAGAAGCAAGGAGTCCGTGGGGTACTTTCCCTATCAGGCATGATAACCCACTGTAGGGGGCCACGCTGGCTGCCCTCATGGGCAGACCTGGGAGGGGCAAATGCGGAAGCTGGGAGCTCACTGGTGGGGCCCAGGACCACAGCTGAGAAAGGGAGGAGGGCTGTCTGCATTCACGTTATATTTTGGAGTTAGTACCAGCAGACCCTGCTGACGTGCACTGTGGAGAAGGGTGAAAGGATTGTGGGCTCCTTGGATACCAGCCTGGTGGCCTCATTGTTTGGGATGGGGCGTCTGGAAGAGAATAGAGCAATGGTGAAAACCAGGAGTCGGTTTTGTATGTTTGGGTGACCTGTGTGTGGGTCATCCTTTGGAACTGTCTGTCACGTAGTTGCTCAGATAGAAGTATCTGAAGATCAGAAAGAGGTCAGCCTGGGGACAAGGACTGAGCATTGTGTGAAGTGTTGATATGTACCTGGTACTCAGGGCTGGGGACTAGATGGCGTCACCCAGGAAGAGGGGGCAGGCGGAGGAGAGGACAGGAGCCAGCAAGGAGGTGGTGGAGGAGTGACCAGGAGGCCGGGGGCAAGCCAGAAGGCGTGGGCCAGAGAAGGTCCCAGAAGAGCGTGACACTCATCGCAGCTCTCCCTGGGAGCCGGGGTCAGCCCACACTTCACACACGTGGTCCTCTCCCACCCCCAGCAGCGGGTCCCAGGACCTAAGGGGGAGTCGCCTCTGGGAAACTGATAGAGCCAGGAAGAAAGATAGTAGAGCGATTTAAGAGCAGGGAGGGGTATCTGTAAGTGGCTCTGAAGCAATCGTTTGTAGGGAAGCAGGGCGCTCATTCCAGCCGGCATGGGTACCCGGGAAGGCAGCGCGCACAGCCTCTCCTGGGCTCTGGGAAGGTAGGAGCCTCTGCCACTCAGCGTAGCCAAACATCGTCTTAACACATGCACTTGAATTTCGACTTCTTTCTCAGATTCACACAATGGTTTCTCCCGACTTGACTTCACTCCCCAAGGGTCTTAAGCTCAGAGTGCAGCACCAAGAGAGGCCATAGCTTTGCTTTTTGCATCCCTTTGGGGGTGTCCAAAGACCGCCCTCTTGGAGGAAGACGGCTGGCCCAGGCGGCCTCTTGGGGTCCCCCCGTCCCTGCCTGAGTTGCCCTGAGCCCCTGACAACCCATCTCAAGGCAAAAAGCAGCACTGTTCCAGGACAATGACCTGGACTGTCCCAACATGTTCCCTTTGCGTGATTTGGGCACCCTCTGGTATTGCTGTCACCTGCCCTCCCGAGCGGGAAGTAGGGCTGAGCACCAGACACGTCGGACACCGCTGAGGTAGTGCAAACGTTCTGGTGTGAGATCTGGAAGGTGCCAGCAGGCCTTACACAGACTGGAAACAAGGAACCTCCCTTAATGCCCACTTGTTTGAGTGCATCTCTTTGGGATGGTGTCACAAACACAAACCTCTGCCATGCTCATGGTAGACCTAAAGAGTCAGTGGATCATATATGGCTTCCACCATTTTGTAAAAGAGGGAACAGGAGCCCCATGTTCCAACCTACCTGCTTGGGGCCTCACGGTGAGGTGATTCAAGAACATCAGCCCTGGGTTCAAATCCTGCCTCTTCCGTTGTTCATCTGTGCCGTCTTGGGAAAGATTCACCTGCTCTGAGCCTCATGCTGCTCAGAGCGGGGTTATGCTACTTAATCTACAGGGTTTGGGGAGGAAGTCGCGGTGAAGAGCAGATGCTAAATGTACTCGGGCAACTAGGTTAGAATGTGGAAGGAAATGCCAGGGGACTTGTTGGGGGCAGGGCGGCTCTCAGAGAGCTGGGTGTCCTCCAGTCTGACTTCGGGCCAGGGCACACACCCAGTCTTAAAGGGACACGGGGGCTCAGTGCCCTTCCAGGGACAGCACAGCCAGTCCACGCCAGACCTGGCCCAGAGCTCCTGACCGTCCGATCCAGAGCTCTCTCCAATGGAGAACTCAGCTTCCCTAAAACAGGGCCTGGAGAAAAGACCGGGACATAAAGGTGTGTCCCGGGGATCTCATCGGTCCCGTTGGCAAGCCTGTGCCGTTCCCAGAATTCAGGAGTCAGACGCCTGAATTCTTAGAGTCAGTTGCTGCCTCCCCTACCTTACCATGCACACATACTCATATCCAGTCCCGACCCAAAGCAAATGGAGCCAGCTCTCAGAAGTTTCTGGAAGTCAGAGGCACTGCTGCTGCCTCTCTCTGTGCTGGAAAAGTTTAGGCTTTCCTCCTGAGGCCATGCAGGTGGCTGGTCCCAAATCAGCAGGGCTTACCCTGCCCTGGAGTGCTCCCAACTGCCAGAACCACCCCCTGGCCTGCCTTCCAGCTGCCCACTCAAAGCATGCGGGTCACACCACAAGCCCCTCCAACAAGACATAGCTGGAGCTGCACCCAAAAGCCCTCCTGCTCAGTCCTGGCGTGGGCCCAGACCCGCCTCCCTGCCTCCCTGCAGCCAGAGCACCCAATCCTTACAGCTCCATCCTTTCATGTAGCCTTGTAGTAAGTAGTATTTAGTAACAATAACAGCTCGTTGGACGTTGTCCAAAGCAAATCTTGCATTCTTATCTCTTTTAACTCAGACATTACCCTGAACGTTATCATCCTCATTTTCCCGAGAACAGAGAGGTCGGGCATCTTGCTCAGGGCCACACAGACAGCAGGCAGCAGAGGCTGTTGGAATTTGGCCTGAGCACTGGGGCTGGCGCTGCTACCCGCCCTGTTTCCCTGACCGCGGAGCAGGGAGGCTCCTGCTCGCGTTCTCTTCCCAGTCATAGCCCAGCGCCCACTACGTGGCCGAGGCCAAAGCAATCTTTGTGGAATCGATCCTGTTTTTGCCATAAATAGCATTTGCCAATCAGAGATCCTTCTTTGAGGGACAGAGAGGAATAATTTTCAATGAGTTCTTTAATTTGTTTAAAAGCCAGCGGTTTCTGCCAAGGTGGTTTTCAGAGTGATTGAAGAGTGTTATTGATGGCCCGAAGCTGCGTGGGTCTCCTTGCCCTCCTGTTTACAACTATACTCGCTTCATGGCCTCTTTTGAATTTTTTTTAATGTTTTTAAATTTTTTATTGTGGTAAGAGCACTTAACATGTGATCTGCCCTCTTGACAGATTGTTAGGTGTACAAAACAGTATTGTTATCTACAGGCATAATGTTGTACGGATCTCTAGAACTTACTCATCTTGCATAACTGAAATTCTGTACCTGGTGGTTAGCAACTCCCCGCTTCTCCCTGCCCCCACCCTCCGGCAACCACCGCTCCCTTCTTTGCTTCTATGAGTATGACTGTTTTAGATACCTCATTTAAGTGGAAATACGTAGTATTTGTCCTGTGACTGGCTTGTTTCACTTAGCAGAATATCTCCCGGGTTCATGCGTGTTGTTGCATATGTCAGAATGTCCTTCTTTTTAAAGGCTGAATAGTAGTCCATTGTACATGGACGGCACGTTTCCTAAATCCATTCGTCAGTGGACACCTAGCTTGTTTCCAGGTCTCGGCTGTGAGTCACGCCGCAATGAACATGGGAGTGCTAGTTCCTCTCCAAGATCTTGATTTCGATTCTAATGAATAAATACACAGAAGTGGGATTGTTGGGTCATATGGTAGTTCTAGGTTTGTTTGGGGAACCTCCCTCCTGTTTTTCCTAGCACCTGCACCATTGTGCATTCCCACTAACAATGTTTAAGAGTTCTAATTTTTCTATGTCCTTTCAATACTTGTCTTTTACATTTATAGGAGTGGACAAAAGTAGATTTACAGTTATGAGTACACAAAACAGAGTTTCTTCATGTATTATTATTTATTTATTAACTTGTATTTTCCCATAAGAACAACTGGAAGCCTACTTTTGCCCACCGTGGTATATGCCATCCTAACTAATGTCAGGTGACGCCACTTGGTTTTGGTTTGCATTTCCCTGATGACTAGTGACATTGAGCATCTTTTCATGTACCTGTCGGCTTTGTGTAGGTCTTCTTCAGGAAAATGTCAATTCAAATCCTCAGCCCATTTTTAAAATCTGGTTACTAGTTTTTTTGCTATTGGGTTGTAGGAGTTTCTTATATACTGGGCCAGGCAGGAGTAAGCCTGCTTGAGTGTGGTTGGTAGGGTAATAATATGGATGTAATAATTTATAGTTTTAATGTGAACATTTCACCTAAAATGTCATATGGTGAGCTTGAGGGGGATAGTGTTACATTACAGAATTACATGCTTATGATTTTTGTAATAAAAAAGGGGCATTATTTGTGCCAGACCCCCCCTTTTTTTTTTTTTTTTGAGAATCTACCCCTTATCAAATACATGATTAATAAATATTTTCCCCATTTTGTCAGTTATGTTTTTACTCTATTGATTGTTTCCTTTGCTGGGCGGAAGCTTTTTAGTTTGATGTAATCCCACTTGTCTAGCTCTGCTTTTGTGCTTTTGGTGTTAGACCCATAAAGTTACTGCCAAGACCAATGTCATAAAGCTTTTCAAACCCTGTGTTTTCTTTGAGGAGCTACAGTTTCAGGTCTTCTGGTAAGTCCTGAATCCATTTTGAGTTGATGTTTGTGTGTGGTGTGAGAGTCTAATTTTGTCCTTTTGCATGTGGCTATTCAGCCTTCCCAACATCATT